TTTGAAATAAACCGAAATGTCCAAAAAAGTTTGTATCGACATTGTAGATTATTAATATATTATGTGAATTTTATATGAATATTAATTTTATATGAATATTAATATGAATATAAATTGCGCACCAATTTCCGCGCTGTATTAACGCTCTCATTTAGCCCCCTTATTCTTTATTATTATTTTTATCATTAATATTTTCTTAAAAAAGGGAAGAGAAAAAATTTCGAAAAATATTCTACTCTCTAAATTTTTTGGAGTGAAATTTTTACTCTAATCCTGGAGTCACTGACCAGTTCATTCTATGTGGAGGAAGTATTTACTTTAATAGAGTGAATTCTTTCACTTTAATTGTAAGACAAAAAGTGAAAAGTTTCACTTTTATTTTTAAAGTAAAATTGTTAATGCTCTAAACTTCACTCCAACTTAAAGTGCAGAAATCTCGTCAAATCATGCCTAACACCTTCTCAGTTCTTGTTCTCGTACAAGTGCCGTTTATAATTGCTAATTATTAACTGTGTTTAGTTGTTTTGAGTGTATGAACAACATCAAGTATTTGACAAACTCGGGAATGAATCTATCAGAGGTAAGCCTGTTTATACGTTTGTACATAAAATAGAAATTAAAAGGATACGAACAGAAGTTAAGGTATAATATTTTGTATAGATAATTTAGGATAATAAAAGAAATTAATTTCTACTGAAAACGTTAATAAATTATAACAAATCAAAATTCATATCTTCAATCTTTAATATGTTTGTACTTATGTACAGATAAAGTACTTAGAGATTTCAAGACTTAGTCAAAAAATGCCTGCGACTTTATGATTAGATTACAAAACATCCTCTCTCCGAGAAAAATCACTCTTTTTAGAGTTGAAGAATAAATCCAAATGAAGAGTGAACAATTTCATTCTTTTGAAAAGTAAAATTTCGCTCCACTTTGATTGGCGGTATTTTTATGAATATTTGGAGTGATTTTTTACTCCAAAAAAGTGAGATTTTACTCCAAGAAATTTAGAGAG